TTACATTTAATCATTTGTATTCTCGTACTGTTGTTCATCATAATTCTGTTACAGTACTTTTCCCCCGAATCTGGTCAAAATTGCCTGATAGCCTTAAAGATGTCTTGACCTGCGAGTCACTTAGATCCTTTTTAAATGTGCTTCATACTTTTTTTCACACAATGTAATTATGTTTTCTCAATGTAATTTTAATGTTCAAATTGTCATTTCTCTTGGGTGTTTTATTTTTATTTTTTTAATTATACATACTTGTTTTTTTTGTTTATTCCTTCTTGATGTTTTTATGTCTTTTGTGATTTAAATTGTTATCTCTACCATATTGTATATTTTATTAGGGAGGGGGCAGCTGGCTTGAAAAAGTTATAGTGATTTGTTTGCTTAAGCTTCCCCCGACCATCTTTTGGTCTAATAAATAAACTGAAACTGAAACTGAAACAGTATGTTGGTTATGGATGACAAGCCTCATATAATGAAAAAGGTGGTAATAATATAATATATAAATAATAATACTGTGTACATCAAGTGGGTCTGGTAGGTTATCACGCATACTGTCAGGAACAATGAAAGCTGATTGGTAAACAGCGGCACAGGTGACCGGTAGATTATCTGGGCGATCAACACTAAACAACACAGGAGCCATACGTGGAATCACTTCACTCCTAGAATTATACCCTTAAAAAAAATATTTGCATAAATCAAGATAAGTTGATGCCTCAATCATGTTAATCATGGTCCATAACAAATTTCAAAATAGTATTCCAATTTTGAAATGCTACATAAAATGCACAGAGGGCGTCTGCGTCCTCTGTGAGCGCTTGGCGATGCAATGAGTGGATGTCATTAAAACTGATTTGTCGCACATGTGTCATAATGTTGAGTTCTCTATGGAATCACGCCGCCAATGAAAAAAAAAGTTTTAATGATTGACAGATATTTTACTACAAAAATCCTTAAATTTTTTGGCAAAATTCTGCATATTTCAAGACTGTGGTATTATCTAAACATTGGTTATTGGCAAAATAAACATTTGTCTTTGTTCAGTTTATACTTAAAACTAATAAAATATCTGAAATACACAAAGCAAGAAATTACTAGTTATTTTTTATATCTAACACTTACCTCCAAAATATCTTTGCACAGGGTAGTATGATTCTGACATTGCATTAACAAAATTACAGGTTAAGGATTTCTTTATTACGGTTGTTAAGTTTATATAGCGACGCAATTCAACACCATCATCAAGTGTCTCTAGAACCTCATACTGTGGGCACTTAATATCTGTGGAAAATTTAAAGTAAAGAAGTGTAAAATTCTAGAAATAAGTAAACCTCTAAATGTTTATACCATAGCATACAATCCACAACGAAGTGGGGCATCTTAAATCATAGACCATGTAAGGATGCGGACGTGGACGTATATTGCTCCATTTATGCCGAAATCTCTCTTAGCTGACACAGCATTCAATAACATAGCTGACGTGATTAGTGCATCTGTAAACAGGGCTATCTGGATAATTCTAGTCCATAAAGCAAAAGCATATATTGTGTGGACTTAATAATTATTTGACTTCGAGAACCTGCACAGCTGTTGCTTGCCCCATTGGGGATCATGCAATGAAAAGAAGAAGAAACCACTGAAGAATAATACATTTTTATTGAAGATTATTTTCACTGTACAAAAGAAATACATGAATATAAAAAAGTAGGTACAAATTTATTTTCAATTCAATCTTTTATTGTCCAATATATAATAAAATACATTAGAAAATCTTTGTTTATACACTGCAACATATAAAAAGTAAGATACACAATTCAATTTCCAATCAAATAAAGGTAAAATAGATAAAAGGTAAAAACAATTCATTATTTACAATTCAAATAAAGAGCAAAATTAGGTAATACTGTGCAATTTAATTAATAATTAGATTGATGTGATTGATGTGATCCAGGTGTTCTCTCCATGGGTATCAAAAGTTATCTTTCAACATATTTGTTGTAAATTACAATAGAATGTGGGACAAATGATTTGTTATAGCGTTTAGTACGGATAGGTAAGGAGCGGATACGAATATGGGATGGGAGAAATTTGTACTCATTGTAGAGTGGTTGATCAGTTTGAGAAAGTATGTGTTTTTAACCATCGAGAGAACACCTGCATCTTATTTAAAATTGAGCTTAGAAAAATCTACCGGTACTCCTATTATTTATATTTATATGAATTTTGTTCTCAGTGTAGAGTGGATGATCAGTTTCAGAAAGTATTTGTTTTACCATGGAGAGAATACCTGCATCATATTTAAAATTAAGCTTAGAAAAATCTACTCCTATTTTTTATATTTATATGAATATAAATAACTTTGCACCTACATGTGGAGGTGGCAATGCAAACATGAGTATTTTATACATTGATGAAAAATATGTTTGGGTGTTTTTTATATATACGATTATGGAAATTTGTGATGGCTATCTCTTGTCAGATATGAATGGAACATCTGCTAATATCTGTCTGTTTGCCTCCTTCCTAACCTGGTGGTAATGGTAATGCAGATTCTGATAATGACAATAAATTTCATGATGACATTTACTGCAGATAATAAAGGAATTCAAAGCATACCTTTACAATGCTCCAAAGGACTTGGTTTTGTAGAGTGTGATGTCAGACATACTGGACCATCTGTTACTGTTGTGTTAAATGGAACCCAGATCTCATTTCTTCTATCTAATATTTTCGTAGGTCTAAAATTGGGTATAAAAACATAACTTTAAAATTAATTTTTAAAAATAAAATATTTGCAATCAAATAAAAAACATCCTAAAAGTTACTGGGTTTGTACCAGATTTTCTAAGCATAATAATTAACGTCCTTTTTCAAAGTTCCATCATACAGCCAGTTGATACAACTAAACAAAATCAAATTTGTGTTTAACACAAACCATGTTCATAACACTTGCTATAGGCTGCAGGTCAATTATCTAAGCATTTTATGGGAAGTGTTGTGTAGTGAAGTAGTACACCTTAGTGGTTAAGATGCTTTTCTACCACTGGCAGGCTCCTGAGTTAAATTCCTGTGTTTTTTTAATGACTGAAATAACTCCATTCACTAAGCCTCACAAAGAGATGTGAATTAAAGCATCGTTCTATCCTGTAATTGGCAAGTTACTTTCTGTTGGATGCAGATGAATTAAAAAAAAATCTATAGGCCTATAAGATAGATGGTCAAATGTTGCTCTCATTTTGTGCTAAGTGAAATTTGGGCTTTGCTAGCTAGGCCTAGATCATTTATTAAATAATAAATTGTAAGTTAATTCATATACTGAATATCTACGCTATGTGGAGTTGCGGAAGCTATGTCCAAAGTTTTTACATCTGACATACACTCATAACTTTCTGTTTTTGTAATTTGTCCATGACTGTATCATGATTGTTATGATGATGTCAATACAATTTATTGGACATATATTAGCTAAACAACTACCACCCACACTTTGATGAGAGGCCAAACTGATGCCAGCGACAAGTAGGTACTGCCAACCCACCACTTTTTGTGGATTCCATAATTACGGTAGATTTTTCTCCAGATGGCATTGTAAGAACCACAATCAGTTATCTAACACAAATTTGAACTATCATGCTTGAAAATCACAGTAGTGTATTTTGACTTACGGATCATAGCCACTGGTATAGTATTTATCTGTTACATATGGTTCTTGTGCATCATCCAAAGCATTCTGCAATTTGTTCAAGTTGTACAAGACGGAAATGCTGTTTACATAACCGCTGAAGGTGGTCACATAGAATATCTGTTCTGGTGACCTTTCAATAAATACCTATAGAAGACAACAAGACAATTTTACTGAAATTATTGGAGATAAGAGTTTAAGTTTTAGGAGGATATCATACAATTGACATGTCGACAAGGACGCAAAGCCCAGCCCACAAAGTCATGAAAACCTTAGACAATGGCGGCTAGACTTACCGAGATTTTCTTTGCTATCAACCTTCTTTAAGAAAGAGAATTCAGGGTAGGCGGTATGCAAATGAATCATATATTTATAGTGTTAATCTATTTCATGGAACATGGCAGGGAAATTGTTGTAAAAGTCTCTGTATTTCGCTCCCAATGGAAGAGGGAAAAGCCGCATTCTGTCAACCTTGTTGTCGGCAAAGGCCAAGTCACTGATGCGCACTGCTCGTGTAAATCTGGGTATCTATAACCAAGCATAGACATCTAGGCCTAAGCTCACGTATGTTTCGTGTACCAGCTTTCTAAGGAAATTAAAATGTCCGAGAAAAAGTTTTTGTTCACATGACTAAATGACGCTCGTTGATTAGTCGGTTTATCTGTCAATCAAATCTTGTCGAGATGTTAATTGTTACCTAAAATTTGTAAGGTGAAGCAGGCAAACTTTGTGGAGAATAAACCTTTTCATAATTCAGTAACTTCATAGCTGTTTCTTTAGCAGCTAAATGTACAAATAAGTTAAAAAATATCAAACCATGGAGGAATAAGTTTAACTTATTCCGCCATGATCTAACATGGTCTCCATAATGGCTCGACTTTCTACAGGGACATACCATGATGAGTCTCTTGTAACTACAATACTCAATTTAACATAGAAAATATTACTACAGTAATATATTATTATGAAATAAAAAGCAGTGTACAACTATCATATAAGATGAAGATATATTGGACACGAGGCTACAGTATCTTTGAAGGCTTCATGTATTTGTCTGTCTTACAAAATGTGCACCTACCTGTTTATCTGTTGGTTCTGGGATATTTTCCCAAAATTCTTGTGGTAAGTAGAATGAATATGTGTACTTCTTAAAGATCTGGAAGGGTGAGCAAGTGGTGTCGACTATAGTCCTCACTGGAACTGTCATCGGTATCTTAACGCCTATTCACAAAAGAGAAAGGAAAGAAGTAAAGTAACGGTATAAGTAATTAATCCATAATTTTAAGAATAGTCCCATTCTTTTGCAATGAGAGGTGCTGACATCTACCTCCAAAAAGTTTGTTGATTGATGTGAATCTTTCTTTGTTGTGTTTTAACAACAAATTGATTGAAATGAAAGCAGCAGGGTAACCAAAACATATGAAGGATGCACAGGGTTCTTAAAGTGCACACAAACCAAACGTGTACACTGAACCTAAGGTAATACTCGAGAAGACTTTGATCTACCAAACAAACCATGAGTAGAGGTGCAGATGTTAAGGGTATAGGTTGTAGCACCCATTGCTTATACTGCTCGAGCAATCAAGTCGCCCAATACATGAAAGAAGAAATGATTACACTTTACAGACAGAATATGGCGATAACTTGTCATCATTCTTGAAACACGATTCCCAGATGGAGAAGTATTTCAAAATCTCATTATTTAATTTATAATTATAGGTTACTGACATACAGAGTATTAACCAAAACATATTTACCTGGTACATTGTCTCCACTGATGTACTGAAATAGCCTTCTAAAAGCCCTTATCCCAGATATTTGCCGGGTAAAGCCAATTACTGTGGTGGACACCCAGACGCTCCTGTTGTACCAACGTGCTTCATAGTCATCTCCTGAACAAAGGACACTGTAATCTGGGGTTTCATAAGGTTTCTCTGTGGGCTTAGGCTCCGGATTGAATCTGTGAAAAGATGGAGACATGTTCTGACCTAGTCCTAAATAACAATCTTCCATACAAAATTATTAGGCCAATAATGTAGAAACTATGACAACTCATTTGCAAACAATACTAAAACCAGCCTGCTGATTAAATATTTTTGGAAATAACTTTTTTTTCTATACAGTACTAACATACAGCCAATATATTGATTAAAATTTTGAATCAATGGCACTGAATATATGGGAAAACAATCAAAATGAATGTGTGCACTATATGCAAGTTCGCTGGTTTACAAATTCAACAAAACTTCACTCATATATCCAATGGTTCCTACTGCATAGACAGGGGCCCCAAGTCTCCTGTGAATCAAGGGAGTTGCCAAAATCATGTTTTTACTACTGTAGTAGTAAATTGCGTAACTAAAATCAATGATTATGGGTATCGCCGTGCACAGACATATATAATTATATGTATTCACTGTTAAAAAAATGCATTAAACCAGACCTGGCTTTTCAACTTCAGATCCCTGCATAGACCATGCAATGAAATTAAAAATTCAGTAGAGGGGGTTTCCCTGTGAGACAAACACAAATATTTATACATAACCTTAACTAGCTTTCTTTAACCTTAACTTTCACTAACTTTACCAGAAATGACTAACCTTTCCCAGAAATTCTGTTTCTTATGCTTAGTGGGTGGAGTGCTAAAGATCTCTTCCCAATTCATTGGCTCAATATCTAAATCAAAATAGGAGAGCTTCCTGGACTGAGATCTTGAACCAAAATTCTGAGTATCTTCTTCGAATGATGTCAGTTTGTAGCTATCCATATCATCACTGATTTCACTAATCCAGTCAGCAAAGCTCTGTAACATCTCAGAGAAACCATCTCCGGCTCCTTGTACAGCACGCTGAGGTCTCTTCCTTTGGGATTGCATTCCTTCACACTGCAGAATACCTTCTGCAAACTCACGCCATTTTTCTGCTTCATCCTTGAAAGTCACATCAAATGGCAATGGGGGAGGTGTTGTTGGAAAGGAAATGTATTCATCATCCAAACTATCTTGCAATCTAATTAAAGACAAAATGGTTTAGTTCAATAATTATGAGGGAAGCACACAAAAATTTACCTTTTATATTACTAAAAAAATGTCTACATCATGAGTTTTTTTCTATCTATAATTCAATTGTTTTGAATTTTGAAAAAAACATTTCACTTTGAGAGTAAACAGAATGGAAAATTTTAGTTTAAAATACTATATATACCAAAATGAATGAGTCAGTTCTTGATAGAACTCTTAAGTATTTATACAGTAATTCATATTATGCAAAAGAGCCAGTGTAGATGTATAAAATTGTTTGGCGAGACATATAATAAACAAATAAATGATAAAAAAAAACAAATAAAAAACATGTTGTGACCAGTGGCATCATCAAAATCTTTTAAATTTGGTGGGCCTATATATTTGTTCTCCCTTGCCACTTTTGTGCTCTTCAATTCGGCGCCCTGGGCACATGCCCTTTTCTGCACATCTGCAGCTAGTTACACCTCTGGGTCTGACTGTGTGCAAAAACTGCTAAAGTTGTGTTAAAAAGCTTGATAAAACCAGTTCCACCCAACTTAGGGAATAAGTTTGTAATTCATTTTCACTACATATGCTTGATTTATTATATACATGGTACTTTTTGTCAGTTTAAATGGTAGTATAAGTAAATTAAAAAAAATATCAAGCAATATTTGTTATTAGTATCTGTTATGTAAAATCCTTTTCAAAGAGTGTTAGGGTGATGATTGTGTTTATTGGGCCTGATAAACAGAAGCCTTATAATGTTTAGTGGCATTTGTCCATGATGTGATTAGGAACAAAAGTAAAAGTATCATGTAAAAATATAATAATATAAATGAAAAAATCTAATATTCTTGTGTCTGCTTTGTTAACGAATAAAAACTGGTATGTCGACTATGACCACCAATAGATTTTAAATTCTATTTTTGATGCAATTTGATAATGTTGACTCAAGAAATACTAAACATAAAGTTTGACTTACTCCTTCTCTGATGATATTGGATGCTTCTTCTTTAAATGTGAATAGATGAATGCCTGGGCAACAGCTGTGGTCCACATGAACAATAACAAAGCAGGAAGGTATCTCATTTTTCCAGACCTACAAAAAAAAAGTTTTGTTAAAAGGGAGTTAAAGATTTTAATCTTTTTTTCTTCTTACTAAACATATGGCACTCTAGAGTGTTTTGGAATGTACCGTTGCTGATGAAAACAGTCAAACGTTCTCTACTAAAGCCTGGAGCACAATTCATGCTACATAGGCTGTATTACTATTATTATTCTTTGAATGAAAATACATTCAATTCAATACTTTTTTATTCATCATCAAATCAATGTCAATTTACAAATAAAACTTTTAAAAATGTTAAAAATAGGATACAAGATGAAAAGGACATTCATGTAACTTTAATGAGCTTGTAAAATGAAGACCTAAGAGTACAGAAGTAAAATTGTTCAACAAAAAAAAAATACATAAAAACACATTCACAACAACACAAGACAATACAACCAAACATGAAAATCTATTAAAGGAAGAATTAAAAAAGTAAGCAAAACCAATGACCAAGGACACTATTTCAACAGGTGGGGGGGGGGGGGGTTGGTAATATTCCAGCTCAACCGATTTTGTTAACATGTTTAACAACAACAGAGGCAAAAATTTAAAGGAGTAAAGGTAAGATTATGTAATAAAATTTATAAAATTTATGATATGATAGCCATAGAATTTGTCTGTACTGTACTATATGTGAACTCCTGATGCATTTATATTAAATTATTATTTAGCTATGGATACTTGTTTTAATCTGTAATTTTATTATTATCTGATTATCTGACTCCACAGCCATTTAGCTTAAACTATCAATATTATATATACTGGCCTATTATTGGACTACATCACAGTAATAATACATAGTATTGTTTATTGTTCAGTAACATATCTTCATGCCAGCAGGCACAAAAGGCCCCAACAACATTCTCAGTCCCTAAATAATACAGTAGCAGAATCTACTATTAAAGAGCTATTACAGTTTTTAAAGGGGTCCTTGTTAAAAGCTAATCTCACTTGCAGCATATTCTACCAAAGAGACAATGAAGTATGATACGAAGTTTGCATCGCAATCAACTGGAAGATTTCTAGATTTTGCTACGTCATCAACTTCTCTCCATGATTTTAATCCAGCCATATTATTATATGTTATATGATAATAAACACATACTATTTGAAAACTACAAATTAAAATACACAAATTATATAAAATGTTATTACTTACTTGGTTGTGCTTCCCTGTTAGTGACTCACACTGTGCATGCCAGACAAAAATGAGCCCACTACGAGATCCTGGACTCTTATGTTATGCTTCCAACCAATCAGATCAAGGTGTCAAATAAGATAAGGTCAATGACTGGGATCATTGCATAAACATCCTTCTTATCAATATTAACTCTGCAGACTGGAGATTATTCATGTCATTGAAAAATGGTTATGAAACACAATAAACTTGTGCTCACTAAACACCTCATTCTTAAATTTTTTTAGATCCCCTATTTTGAGGCAACCCAAGTCAATGAGAATAAACTTCCACCTCCACACGGTCATACTTGAATAATGCTTTTTTTTTTAACTATCTTAATTTGACAAGTTCAAAATTAAAATAAAAAATATATTTTCAAAAGACAATTTGTATATTTTCAAAAGGAGCTGTAGGAATGAAATAATAGATGGTCATTTTTATTGAGAGAGACAAAAGTTGTAATTCATTCAGAAACCTGTTTCAAATTTGGTTTTTGGATATCATATCTATTTGTGTGCAATTTGGAAAGATGTAAAACTGTGATACTATCACTATAACAGAATAAGGCACTCATCAAACTTTGCCATATCCTTGAGGGCTATAAACTACTCTTCTTAGAATTCTGCTTCATTATAAAAGCTGCATCAGCAGCTGCCAACTGTCAATCCGTCAATCTTGAATACATTACCATCATAGTCAGGATCATTAATATCTTCTTTAATCATTACATTAACAACCGCATCATCACCATCAACCACATCATCATCGATTATTATTATAATCATCATGGACAAAATTGTCTCTATCAACAACTATCATTATCACCACAAAATACAAAATACACAGGGGCGGATCCACTAGGGGGCACAGGGGGAACGTGCCCCCCCTTTTGCCACTAAATTTTAAAAATTTTAATTCAAATTGATGTTATGTGCTACTCATTTATCTATTCTGAAACTGCTGTGGCCACTACTATTACCACCTCCCCCCCCACCCCCGTTTGAAAAATTCTGGATCCGCCCCTGTTACATCATTATCAACCACCACTATAATGAGTTCATGAAACATCTAATATGTAGTTAAGAGGTGAGTCCAGTATCACAACAATATCATAAACAATGATGAACTTCTAATATGGACAAGCCTTGGCAATTTATTTATTTATTCTGTCTTTTTACTGCATGCACTTTCAGTACTTGTGTACTGTTTTTCAAAGTGGTACAGTTTCATATTAAGAGTATGGGGTGGAAGTAGGTATTTTATACGGCGGATGACACCAATACGCTTAGACAAATTTGAAGATAATTTATTTATGTGGTCTTTCCAAGTTAGTACAGGATCAAACGTTACACCTAAGTATTTAAAAGAATCAACTCTTTCAATAATATCACCATTCAAATTAAGTGAAATATCTTTAAATTTAGGAAGAAAGTAGTTTGTTCCAAATAACATTAATTTTGTTTTCTTTATATTAATAATTTATTTATTTTCATTGAACCAGTCAGCTATTTTAGTCAAACAAGAATTTAGTTCTTGTTGTAGAGTGACTGGGTCAAATGAGTTACAAAGTATAGTGGTGTCATCTGCATACATAACAACTTTACAGGACATTACATCAGGTAGAGAATTTACATAAATTAAAAATAGTAAGGGACCCAAAATAGATCCTTGTGGTACATCAATATTGAGATTCATGAGATTAGACTGACTGGAGTTAATAAAAACCGCTTGTGATCTGTCATATATGTATGATTTAAACCATTGTAGCTCAATATCGTCAATTCCATAATAATTTAGCTTTGAATACCATGATGGCAATGAATACCATGATGGAAATCCATGGATTGATGATGATAAATTAACAATGAATTCAGGGGTCCCAGGTCACCTGCAAGTCTTGCGAGTTTCCCGGAATTCGGGACAGTCTCCAACACTCCCGCAACTGAACATGAACCTCCTGGAAAATAACCCATCTCCCTCAAATTCATTAAACCCACATGTTTTTACTACTGTATTACCCCCTTTATTATCACTTGTCTCATGGAAGTCTGTGTTAATTGGTATCCTATAAGCAGCAAAATTAAATTAGACGTGCTAAGAAAGCTTTAAGATTATGAAAATATTAAAATGTGATTTCACAGCCTTTGCTGTGTTTTTATCCGAAACTACAAGTGTCTTGAGATTTTTGGGTATCCACAGATGGGTTCCAATACTGTATATTCAAAACAATTTTATGAACCCAGACAACAGACACGTCCTCCTTCCAAAGTTTTTGGCAGCAATTCAAAAAGCAATCATGTGACCAGTAGGAAAAATCCCTTAAATTTTCCAAACAGGATGAACCTAAGCATATGGCATCAGAATATAATCTGTTAAGTAACTCTTTGGCAATTAAAAGTTAAAGTTCAAATGTTGGCTTCAGCATAGTTAAAAGTTCTTTGTATAGTTTGGTGGTAATGATGCTTGCTTTCCAATGCCTGGGTTCAATTCCTGTCTTTTTTCTTTTTTTTTGTCACAACCAAAGCAACCCCACTGCCTATAGCCTCATAGAGAGATGTTTGTTTAAGTGCCTCTTGTGTGTTTGTATTGTGATAGGGAATGACAGTTTACTATTGGCATCCTTGGCCCTTGTGCCTAAAAATTAAATAAGCTAAATAAATTAGATATGCAACTACATGTTATCCAGTTTACAAACCATTGTGTTATGTTTAATAAGTTGGTGGAAAAATACCATGGAAAAAATCTCAACAACTTAATAATGGTTAAATACTGTCTATTGCAAATCAAAGCATTGTGGAGGTCCATTTATTTCTATTTAATAATAATAATAATAATATTAATAATAACAATAATAATAATAATAATAATAATAATAATAATTATTATTATTATTATATTTAATATATTAATATTATCTATTTATCTGTATTTGATCCAGCCCAGTTGTTGAATGTAAATCAAAATTTGGTTACTGTATAATTGAGTGTGTGAGTGCCTAATAATGTATGGCTGTACTACTGAGAAAGCTTGATCAAGATTGAAACCAAAAAGAGTGATTTTGCAAATAATCAGCCACAGAATTTTTTTTAAATGTCTAGTCAATTGTAAAATGTTTTGTAATTTGTATTTATATTTTATTTCAATTCACATTCATTAGTGGATGACACACTAATTACAGAATGGAAACAATTTACTGATATAAATAAAACACACAAAAAAGGAAAAGATATGAATGACCAATATGATATTGGTAGCAAAATTAGAAATAGATAACAATCAAATTTATGCGAAATAAGTTTGATCGCTATTTTACTAATTCCTTGGTATAAAATATATCGTCGTTCTATCTTCTGCAAATATTGTTATATAATCTTGATAAACTGTTGATGAACCCATGTTCAGTTACATAATTTCTGTTAGTGTTATATAAATACAGGCTTGTTGCATCTGGTACTTTATTGAAGGTGACAGAAACTATTAGCGCTTCATGGGATCAAAATTTGAATACAATGGTCATTGGAACATGATATTTAGACCACAATCTCCCACATGACCTGGTGTACAACAGAAGTACATTCACTTCTATTTTCACCATGGTACAACAGTGTGCTAGAGTAATACCATGGTAACACAGTGGGGTTCGTACAGTCAGGTGGACTACTGTTTTCATACATAGACTTTAATGTCCTTTGCTATGATAAAAACAAGGTACAGTAACACTATTCAAAATCATCAAATTTAATATCTTTACAGTATTTATTAATATAGTTATTTAATTATAATCAATGCATTTTATCATTTATTTATATATAGTCACATGGGCCAAAGACCGTGAACAATAGCAAATATAGTACAGGTATAACTACAGTATTATCTCACTCATAAGTGGCAATGCTGTTCACAAGAGAAACAAACAAGATGCAGGATCTGAGCGGGGCTGCTTTTGGACATGATTTATTTTTATAGCCAAAAACAATATATAACACTTACAACATAAAACAACATAAAACAGAAACAATTCTTACAGCAACAGTCTTGCTGGTCCTTTATGATAAACGGAATTAACATAAACAATTGAATAAGCACCTCTTGAATACCGTAAGTGCCACACTAAATACGATTTTTGATAAATACGTCTTGAATAAGTGTTGTTGAAACAAATGACATAAAACGTCGGTGTGTACTACAGTATACCGTATTATTAGTTATTAGATATCAAGTCATTTAAAATAAAACTATTAGCTATGATAGCCATAATTATAATCATATCATTATCATCATCATCATTAATGTTATTATTATATTAAATATGCAATATAATATACTTTGGTTGGATTTATATAGGGCTGGAAGTGGGTACTCTGTAGGCTCTACATTTGATAAATTTCATAAAACAGCCTTCTTATATTTCTATTAATTAGGGGTGTGTTACATAGGGTTCTTACTGGTATTGTATCCGAGGGTGGTCTACCGGTTCATGCAAAACTCGGCTTTCAAAAAAACCTAAGGTATTATGCCTTGTTGGATTAGCGATATGAAATATCTGTTGAAGTTAAACATGATCTAATACTATCTGTTAGAATCAAAGCGGTATAATAATAATGTTAGACTGATAGCGCTTCATGCAAATGAAGCCACTAAGCAATTCGCATTATTATCCTCAGTCAGTTTGAAAACTGTGCAAGGAAATCTTGCACAATTTGCAAATTGTATTAGAATATTCCAGCAACAGAGGTTATTTTACAGCAATATGGGAGATTTTTTACAGAAATGGAGGCCAATTTTTCCTATCTGTCAATTGGGATAAATTTGGCTAGGGCCATTTTTTATTAAAGAAGTTCAGAGAACAGAGTCAACAGAACAATAAAACCAAAATAAGTATGTGATATATTACTGTATAGAAGTTATTATTCAACAGTGCATGTACCACTAAATTAGTAGCCACTTTTACAGAAATGGAGGCCATTTTTTCCTATCTGTCAATTGAGGTAATTATTAAAGAAGTTAAGAGAGCAAAGTCAAACAATCAAACCAAGGTATGAAGTATATTTAATGTAGCATTAAACTTTACAATATAAAAGTTATTATTCAACAGTGCATGTACTACTAAATTTGTAGCCATTTTTACAGAAATGGAGGCCAATTTTTCCTATCTGTCAACTGGGGTAAATTTGGCTAGGGCCATTTTTATTAAAGAAGTTAAGATAACAAATTCAATCAAACCAGGGTATGTAGTATATTTAATGTAGCATAAGTTTACAATATAAAAGTTATTATTATAATTATTCAACAAGTGCATGTACTACTAAATTATTAGCCATTTTTACAGAAATGGAGCCCAGTTTTTGTTGCATACGGCAGGTGCTGATGCAAGAGATATATGATACGTTTGTTTACGCTAAAGACGAGGACAGGAATGGCGAAGATACCATTCTACTGATCATATTGTCAGTCTTGCGCAAAGAAGTGTATGAGAATGAAGCTTATAATGACAAAATTCAGTATGAAGTAAGCAAAGTACATGGGAAATCTTATAACAGAGTTCCTTATGGACTACACAGCAACCTAATTTCTAGGTGAAGCACTAGAGACAGGGAGGCTTTGTTGTGACTGAATGGGGAACCAATCATCACAAGACAGAACTGCTTTTGCCACTGCATCCAGAAGCCAAAGCATGTCTTGCATTTCAGACATAAGAACTACATATGTATATATCCAGCAACCGCCCCATGCAGATAGATGGACAAAATACTCTGGAAATATCCCAATATCTCCATTTGGTTTTTCAACGTCTTTTATTTTTCTGTTTTTTTGTAATTATGTTTGTATAAATTTGAGATGGTGAATGAATCAAATAAAAAATTGAATATTAGATTCGAGAACTCTTGTAACAGATGATGTTCAACAGCTTCAAGAGCCTAACAGATACCAATAGAGGCTAATGTAGGTGTAAAAGATACTGATTCTAGCGATGAGTTTGAAGTTGAAATGTATTTAACAAAGAAAAAGACCATTCCTACTGAGGATATAGCAGAAACAAGAGGTAACAGTGGTTCCAGAGTTAACCTCCTGATACTGAAGTAATCAGTAAAGAACAGCTTATTATTAACATTCTAAACAAATTATTGTTAGGCTGGAAATCAACAATAAGACATCTGGAATGACAGAAAACAATACCAGTAGTTTACCAGCATTCCCAGTTTTTGACTATGAAACAAATAAAGCGAACACTGGCGTTACAGTAGGTACATGTATAAAATCATCTTTGATGCGCTGGATTGTGTCGTGCAACGTCATTTCTCCCTTAAGCGGTTTGTGTATACTTAAGCCTCACTTTCACATTTTTGCTGTAGGTTGAAGCTAAATTTCATGGTGAGTTGATGCAGTTGTATCCCGTAGAAAAATATAAAAATCACATTGAACCTGCCTATATCCATTTCTAAAAGTGTATAGGGTTGTAGAGAATTTTCTAAAGTTTTATTTTCCGAAGTTTTACAGCCATATGTACTTGCGAAGTTAGGTTTCTCAAATGCGGAAAAATTTGTTCTGTGCCGAGATTTTTCACCTGCAAAGCCTTGGAATTTCACACTTGTAATCCACTTCCATCCTTGAAATTTGTGACTAAAATGATATAATTGTGTTACTAATAAAAAACTTAACATTCTTTCTATATTTTACAAAAGAAATAAAAATTACAGCAATATTAATGTACTTTTAATTGCCTTTTAATTGACAAATATTTTCTTTTTCCCTGACCTGATGCCAAGTTGAATTTTGTGTTCCCCAGCAACAGTCAACACAACCTAATTCCTTTCTAGCTGGTCATGCACATGGTGCATGTTTGAGAATATGTGGGGGGGGGGGACATTTGCTGTCCAAAGTTTAAAAAAATTAATATATGGCCTACTCATACACTTGCATTTAATTCATAAATATGAATGTTCATACTCTCAAAGACAACAAATTCAAAATGTCAAGGTGCAGGAACTCATGATTGAAATACAATCCTCAATTTCCACAGATCATCAAGTTTTTCTCAAATGAATTTTACAAGTTTGGTATCAAGTGAATGTGTGCTTGTTGATCTTTTATTTGACCATATATTCATAATACTTTTTGAACCTTTAATTATAATAAAGCACTATATACAGTATATAAAATTTAATTAATAAAATTGAACATAATGCATTTGTAGAGGGCGCCTTTTATTCTTCGGACAAAAATATGTATTTTTGGATTTTATAAAAGTTCATGGTGTTGGGCACACTTGTTATATAGAACATTTTCTTGTTAGGTTCAAATAAACATGTGAAATTTCAATTACAAGTAAGGCAAAACTGTTTTGTACATTTGTATGTAAAGCATTAAATTAATTTGGGATAGGCTAAATAAGGATATCTTGCAATTTGGATCTGAAAAGGTTAAGCAAGAAGTTCATCAAAAATTAAAGGATTAATAAAGGGCGCATTAATACCTAATCTAGGATTGTGATAAGGCGAGTTTTAGAGTGTGGATCATTACTGCTCAAAATCTCAAGCAACGCAGACAGTAATCTTAACGGCTCCCCTTGCTCTAACTTAAGAGTACTGGTGTTAATTGCTTATAGTCCAAGAGCATTAGGTCGTAAATATAGGCAGACCAGGAAATTTCTCATAACAAGCTAAATTTTTCAGGATAGGTCCAGAATTATTAGTAGAATAACATACTAAAAATCCTTGAAAATTCTATTGGAGCTTCCTGCAAAATCAAAGATGGCGTCCAAAAAAGGTTGCTGTTTTTATAATTTATCATAACTTTGCAGCCAGATAAGTTGAAAGCACAAATGACCTGTCTAAACATGTTTTAAGGTACAGGGAATACAATAAAACCGTTATCTG